TGGTACAAACAACGTAAACGTATGATTGTTCGAGAAGTTTGATATGAAGGATTGGGAAAAGCTGGACACATTCTCGGTATCAAGGTGATACGACACATAACAGAATTTTGTGCTTATCCCAATCTTCTTACGTAGATACTGTCTTTAGCTCGTTTTAGCATGAAAGATTACAAGAAAGAGTATTTACCTTTTTGGCATGGGATTCCACAATCCAAAGAGATGCCTCCCAAGACGTCTAAAGAGATAAAGGACATGAGAGGGATTTCTTATGCATCGACAGCAGGAAGTCTAATGTATGCTATAGTATGTCAAGTCCAGACATTTGTTATGCGATAGGCATGGTGAGAAGGTATCAAAGTAACCCGGGACAAGATCACTGGACCGTAGTGAAACGTATACTCAGGTACATAAAGAGGACAAAAGACTATATGCTGGTCCCTGTGGGTTACGCCGATTCTGACTTCCAGTTAGACCAGGACGAAAATAAATCTACCAGAAGGTTTGTGTTTACCTTAGGAAGTGGAGCCATATTATGATGGAGTGTCAAGCATAAATGCGTGGCGTACTACTCCATTGAAGCTGAGTATGTCACAACTTCTGAAGTAGCGAAAGAGGCAGTATGCCTCATGTACTTCTTGCTGGACTTGGATATGGTGCCGAATTTGCCACGAGGTATTACAGTTTACTGTGATAATAGTGGTGGAGTAGCAAACTCAAAGGAGCCACGAGCCCATAAGGCGAGTAAACACATAGAGTGCAAGTAGTACATGATACTGGAAATAGTTGGAAGAGGAGACATCGTGGTTGCCAAGATAGCATCGGAGGACAACCTAACGAATCCTTTCACGAAGAGTCTGTCCTTCCACGAAGAGTCTGCCGATAAAGGTCTTCGACAGATACGTGGAAGGAACGAGAGCAAGATGTTTGGTGATATGATCGAAATAGGTCTTTAAGAATAAATATTGAAACATGTATACTAGGAAAAGTGAAAGCTTTAAGTATAAGTGGGAGATTGTTAGTGTATATATTGAAAACTTGGCTCTTTGTGTTATTTACACTATTTTATGTTAATTAAGAATCATGTTTAATTAAACAATTCTATGTTCTGATGTTTTACATTTAGATAATTGTTGTTCATCACGGATGGACATAAGACCATATTATTGGTTACTTGTAAAACATAAATAACTAGTTCACAACCTAGACGATAATTAACAACTCATCGTGAACGGCTGTAGTGCAATTCATATCGGTTTGTCTTGACTGATGAATTACGCTAGTACATCCCAGGTATATTGAACGAATCCAGATAGGATAAATTGTTTTATATTGACCAAGTAAACAAACTAGACCTCAATTAGTTATTGCGTACTCTGAACCCGTAAGATAATAATAGACACGTGCACTGAGTGACTGCTACTTTGATTCACTAAAATGTGAGATCCATTACTTTGGATCAATAGTCTAGGTGAGTTGGATAGTGATGTTGTGTGTATGGTGTACTGTTCGATTTCACCATCTGCCTTAATCTGATGATGCCCCTGAAGTGAGCTCAAAAAGGATAATTATGCCAAGCCCTACAGGCGGAATGTGTTCCGACATAATAATACAGAACTGAGTGGTATTAGCTTCGGTTCAAGAAGTTAATTAATTATATTATCAGTGATCAAATTAATTGACGGATATTATATCTTAAACACGGGGAACCAAACTGAGTAATTATAATTGAAGCCTCAAATGTAATTTGGGAGCTCAATGAGAGGTAAAATAATATTTCTTCAATGGACTGAAATATTATTCAAATATGAGCAGAGTGGGCCAGGCTCATAGTTAGACCCATACTTAGAACCTCCTAGGCTCCCTATTGTAGACTATAAATACACCCTTTCTCTTGAGAGTTCCACACGCCTAAGACCATAAGAAAACACATAGCATATGACTTTGAGAGTTCCTGTGAGTTTTGGAATCTCAATCGAGATTTCTTCGAGATTGTCGCCTACCAAGACAAAAGGAGAACGTATCAGATCATACAACAAAAGTCCCAAGGTGACACGAGGCTGCATGACCACCACACGACCCCGTGAATCCCTACTGACCATCGGGAGCCGCAGCTGCAACCGCAGCGGCCCGACGAGCACTGCAGTCACAGCCGAATCTGCATCAGCATGCCTGCATCCTCATGACGCCGCACGCAACGCCAGCCGCATCAGCGCAAGATGCAAGCCACAGCAACACACACGCAGCAACTGCGTGAAGCACGTTGAGCCGAGAGACCGACCGCACGACGCCCGATGACTGCAGCAGGCACGCGAGACGCGACTCCCGACTATCAACGATCAGACGTACTAACGAAGGATGAGGACGAAGGCGAGAAGATCATCTCAGAACCGTTTGCCCTACCCCGTAAACCTTGTAGTTGCCTCAGAATCTGCAAAAAGTTTTAAATCGTAAGTATTCAACCCTTGCTTAGTTCAATTGTGCTTAGATTTACTTTGGTAGATTAAATCTATGACTTGCACGAATATGACGTTCATCATAAAACCCCAATAGTTATAAAATTTTATGTACTTCCCTTGAGCCGAGTATATCTCATTAGTCATACGGACAATTTTTTTAAGTATTTACGAAATCTAGCTAGTTTATGTCTTCTGACCCTAGGTATTTTATTATATTTGTGCTGAGGTGCAGATCTCAAATGTTATAGTTACAATTGTATATGAGTCGTCCAATTTTATGTACTATTTTATATTGTTTTCAGGTTAAAATCTCGTATCAGAGCATCCACAATGTTTTTGGTCTGATTTTGTTTACATGGCATTTAGATAGACTCAAGTTTTGGATGACATCGATAAAATTATATAAGAGTAATAGAATTCACTCAAGTGCAAAGAGATCGAGTCTCTATTTGAGTCTAAAATAGACGTAATGGTAGATCGAGTCTCTTTTGCTTGATGCTACATCAGCAGGACCCACTCCACTTGCTCTTGCATTGACGAATCAATTTTTTAGGATAAGTCCAATTTTTACATATGTGGCATATGAATGGACTTAAGTCCTGAATGACATGGACAAACTCAAGTAAAAAAAAAAAATCCAAAAGCTATCCAGTGCAAAAGTAAAATAATAGGTCTAGCATGTCTCTCAATTAATAAAAATGCTCTAATATGTTCTCTCTATTAAAATAAAATAAAATTACGAATAAACACAGTTTGTACTTGAGTCCAATATAGACTGGAGAGTAGGTTTGGTCTCATTTTTTTGTTGCCACATAAATTAGAGTATGTCCACATTTAATTGTATTGAAATATAATTTTTTATAGACTATATCTATTTCTACATGACATATGATATTTTTTTAAGAGATCCAAATGATGTGGGTGTTCTAAGTTATAAAGATATATGTGAATAACATTCTTGTTAGGTAACATCTTCTTTTAAATTAAAATATCAATGCATGTAAAATGGGAAAAATTAGAGCAATGAGAGCTAAATAACAGCAATCTATATATATAATAAGAATTAACTTAAATAAAATATAGTAAGCATTTCCTGCCATTATGCATTAATTACATCATAATTATAGTAATTTTACCCAATTCCTTAAAACAAATCTTGAAGCATGAATTGAAATCAGTTTTAACTTCCCTTAACAACTGAATTTATTGTTTTAAAAATATACTCCATAATATTTGATTAAACACTAAATCCGGATGTTTGGAATCAATTAGATTTAAAAGCAGTATTATTATGGAATAAAATATTACAGAGTATCTTTTTAAAAACTATATAATTATAGAATCAAATAATTTAACCACGATTCAATCTTTTTAATTCAATCTATATTTCTTTTTAGACTTATCAATTCATTTTAATATAATATAAATTTTCCATAAAAATGAGAGTAGAATTTTACAATAATCATGGTATCAATATTAATAATGTAAATGCTAAATAAAATTTAATTATTTGGTCTATACACTAATTTATAATATATATATATATATATATATATATATAAGTAACGCATATTTGAACTTTAAATTTTTTATTTTTCTCACATATTGTTATGCAATATACGCAACTTAACTAAAATTAAATAATATTATAAAGATTTCATTCAATCATGATAACATATTTTTAAAATGCCACATTATTCGGCTCACTATTCAACTACTCAAGTAAACATCTTTTTGTTTATAATATCACGATTATTTTTTTTTCTATCATTTTGAATCATTTCTTTTATCAATTTATTGATGAAATATTTTTTTTCATTTAAAAACCGTGATTTACATGTCTTCCGATTCATTTACTAGTTTTGAGTTACAAATGATAAAATATCTTTGTTTTTTTTAACGTAATTATTTTTGTAAATATTATTTTACAAAAGATACAATCAAAATTCTAAATCTCTGTTAAAACATAACAAAACAAAAATTGTTCTTAGTATTGAAATGAATTTGGCATAAAAAATGAAAATGATTGAGAAAAAAAAAGATATACTCAAAGTCCTAACAACTTTTCTTATATTCTATATAAAATTAAACTTCACCAGATAAATCATATCTTTAGTATTTATCACAATATTACATATTTTCACTAGTTTTATTTCATGGTGGTATCATTTCCAAAAATAAATAAAAAATTAAAGGAATGAGGTGTCTATGCAATTCACAATTATCAAGAGGAGAACAATTTTGGTAAATATCGATCTACGGTTGCCAAGTGCAAAATAATTTTGCATGGAAAAACAAAGAGGTTTATAATAATGTATGAGTTTTTTATAATAAACATTTTACGATTACCTAACAAATGTTTTATATATTATAATTTATTAATTAATAGTCTTAAATTATAAATTTTACCAAAACATGTACCACCCGTGTATCGCACGGATTCCGTGTTACTTTAAATTAAAATATCAAATACAAATTGCTCAATAAGCCTAAAATATAGATGACTTTATTAATATATTAATGCGATACCGCGGAGCAATTGGAGCAATTTGTACACGAAACCCCACCGTGGTGAGGTGCACCCTAGAGCAGGTGATGTAACCCCTGTCTCAAACGCTGCTCAAAGGACAAAAAAAGTACAAAAAAAGAAAAAATAGAACAAAAAATCCAAGTCTCGATTTTGATTTGACTCAGCCGCCGGCTGCTAAATGCGAACAATGGAACCGGGAGATGTTTATGCTGATGTGATGTTTTGTTGCAAGTGTTGAGTGTTTTCAATGCTGTTGCAATTTTTTTCGGGTAAAAAAATAAGTAAAGATATATTGTTAAGGGGGGTTTTCCGGTCAAAAACCAAGGCATTTGGAAATGGCGGTGGGCCGGAGAGAGAAAGGCAACCAATCGTTATCCCGGGGAACGCGAATCGCGGCGGCGATTGGGATCGGAGTGATTTTGGGATGCGTGTTTGCGTTTTTGTTCCCTCATGGGGTTTTCTCCTCGAATCAGCCAACTGTAGTTCGTTCCCTTTTGAATTCCAACCTACAGGTGCTTATTTTGGTTTCGTTTCCATTTTCCCCTTTTCTTCTTTTATTTGTTTTTTTTTTTCTTTCAACTTGCTTCGCAACGCATGCTTTAGCTAAATTGTGAAAACATATTTGTGTAATCTTTGGGGAGTGAAGATTTCCTGTTGAGATGCTCCCGTAATCCACTTAAATTTGTGTGGTATTTGACAATTTGGGTTCTACCTTGTGTTATTGTATCGTTGAGGGGGGTTGACTTAGTGTACTAGAGTGCTTCAATTTGTTTGTTGAATTTTTTAGATAGTTGAGTTCAACTTTCAGGTAGATCAAATTGAATTTCTTTCAATTTGGATTATTCTTTTGTTCAGTTCTAATTTTATTCATTTTGTCAAGTTCTGATCTTGTACGCATGCTTAAACATGATCCACCAATTCCATGTTCATATCACAGTTGGTTTAATATTTACATGTTAGACTTTTAACAAATTTAAACACACTTCCCACAGGTAGATCAACCCTCATGTGAGTCGACCGAGAAAATAACCCAGCTAAAGTCCAACATCATGACTTTATCAGACAAGAATGCCGAGTTGAAAAGGCAAATCCGTGAATTGAACGAAAAACTGCAGTTAGCCGAGCAGGGGAAGGATGTTGCGCGAGAACAGTTTCTTATGTTGGGCAAACCTCACAAGGCAGGTCCTTTTGGCACAGTAAAGGGTTTAAGGACAAACCCTACTGTTCTTCCAGACGAGACCATAAACCCACGACTCGCGAAAATCCTGGCAAAAGTCGCAGTCCGTAAGGAGCTCATAGTTGCTCTCGCCAATTCTCATGTTAAACCCATGCTCAATGTCTGGTTCACCAACATTAAGAAAGTCGGCATCCCGAATTACTTAGTCGTGGCATTAGACGACGAAATTGCGGATTTCTGCAAGTCGAACGACGTCCCTTTTTACCAGAGAGACCCTGACGAAGCAATCGACTCCGTGGGAAAAACGGGCGGGAATCACGCGGTCTCGGGACTTAAATTTCGAATCTTGAGAGAGTTTTTGCAGTTGGGCTACAGTGTTCTTCTTTCGGATGTTGATATTGTATTTCTGCAAAACCCGTTTGATTACTTGTACAGAGACTCTGACGTGGAGTCGATGTCGGATGGGCATAATAACATGACAGCTTATGGGTTTAACGATGTTTTTGACGAGCCTGCAATGGGCTGGGCCCGTTATGCTCACACGATGAGGATTTGGGTCTATAATTCCGGGTTTTTCTACATAAGGCCCACAATCCCTGCTATTGAGCTTTTGGACAGGATTGCTGGCAGGCTTGCTCGGGAGGCAGAAGCATGGGATCAAGCTGTGTTTAATGAGGAGCTGTTTTTTCCTTCACATCCTGGGTACGTGGGACTTCATGCTGCCAAGAGGACTATGGATTTTTACCTGTTTATGAATAGTAAGGTTCTTTTCAAGACCGTGAGGAAAGATGGTAATTTGAAGAAACTGAGGCCGGTTATCGTTCATGTTAATTATCATCCGGATAAGTTTCCGAGGATGAAAGCTGTTGTCGAGTACTATGTGAATGGGAAGCAAGATGCTTTGGATCCATTTCCTGATGGGTCTCAATGATCGTGAAAGATGGTAAATGGTGTCTCGGATTTTTTACATGATATTTAACGCTCGTTCTCAAGGTGCAACACAGGATGAATCTTTTTTGCAGCGATATGTTATGCTAATGTCATTTTTTTGGCTTTTGGCTTTTGGTTTGTCTCGGTTTGATGTAGTTCCTCCGGAACACATGAATAATATATATCTGAATCTTATCAGCTTCACTATATCTTGTTTGTTTTACTGTTAGCCCCTTGGAATATTTGGTGGAAACTCTACTCCGAAATGTGCATGACAAATAATTATAGTTCTGCTTCAGGTACTACATGTAGCCTGTATTGGCTTTTAAGGTATTCTTAATGGGATCACATTTTGCTTTCTATCTGGCGCCCCAGCTTATTCGATTTATTTCGTATTTAAGTTTCAAGAGATGACTATTATTAATTCAGCTTGTACATTAGAAAGAGGATGATGAACAAATTTAGCCCTGAATCCTGATATATAGTCTTACTACAAGTCTCTAGTGTTGTAAAACATACCTTTGAGCTCCGTATTCACCTTGCCAATACCCCCTCTCAATGATGCAATTTGAATATAGTAATGTTAACGGGACATTTGTAATTTAGAAAGTAGCTGGGGATATTTGCAATTAGACTGATCTATAGTACGTAATAGCCCATCTGAGAAAACATCTTATGCATATGAAGAAATGATACAGCGACCCAAGGTACAACAACGTGCAACTAAGGTTTCATACTTGATTCTTGAAATTATTATTATATCAGGCTCAGAAGTTAGAGTCATTTCATTTATTCTCTTCCTCATCTCCCCTTGAGATAGAATCTCGAGATGAATTTGAATGAGAGCTTGGGGAAGTTGGTCGGTTGGACAGAGGCTCGCTGTTGGGTGGTTGAAAGAAAATATAGATACGGGAGCCATCTCTAATGCCATAATCTTTTACAGGGCTTTGGTCATTATCCAGCAAGTAATGGTTGTCATCAGCATTGAGCATGAGAATGAGACGTTGAGTCGGGAGGTTTTCTTGGTTCCCAATTTTGTTCTTTAAGTCTTGAACAGTTGCATCTTCTTCTATTTTGAGACTGAACAAGCTTCCTGTTAGTATCTCTGCTACGAGCTCCATTTTCTTTGTTTTCTGCCTTTTTTTCTTTCTTTTTTTTTTTNCTTGGTTTTGGTGGAGTCAGATGAGTCTGATTTAAATGTGTTGCGTGCATGCAGATGGGATTGTGTGTGCATTGTGATTGCATGCAAGTGTGAGTTGGTTTGGGAGCTTATTTCAGGAGTTGGGCTCATGCAAAACTTCATTAGCGTAAATAACTGGATTGTGAATCTTTATAAAACTGCTATTTACGTAAATAATTGGATTGTGAATATTTATAAAACTGCGGCTACATTATACCGGCAGACCTCCATATGAGGGAATTTGCCTCTAATATCACAACCTTTATCGAATTTGTAATTTAATCATGACATTTTCACTTTTGTAAATTATATCACAATTTTTAGTTTGTTGCAAACAGTCTGAAAGCAGTCATAGAAAAGCTTATGTGGTCGAACAACAAACTGAAGATTGTGATATAGTTTGCACGGGATATGCAAATCGGTGCACCAATTTGCAACAAACTGAAGATTGTGATATAATTTGCAAAAGTGAGAAAGTCATGATTAAATTACAATTTCGAAAAAAGTCATGATATTAAGGGCATTTTTGCAGCTCCATATGTAATGCATATTTTTCATTCTAAGTCATGTGTGTGTATATTTATTTTTAAAATTAAAAGATAACATAGTTTAAAGATTAAATAACTTCATTCGATAAAATCAAATAAATACTAAAATTGGAAAAAATGTACAACTTTTTTTTTGCGCTTTCATCTACAAAATATAAAATGAAATGTGCTATACTGCTATCTTAATTTTTGCAACAAATGTTAAATTTTAATTATGTGAATATGAATGTAAATAAACACATATTTTTTTTATTAAATTAGGTACTATTTAATACATTATTCATTTGGACAAGGAAAAAGGTGCTATTCATTTACATTATCAACAAAAACAATTAATTAAATAATAAAATAAGGAAAACTACAGGTGCAATCTTAATGATTGCAAAGAAATATTAAATATCAATTACGTAAATATGAATATAAATAAATAAATAAATTATTGATTAAATTATGTGTTATTTAAATTGTTAATTTTTAGTTCATCGTATGAGATAAATAAATAAATTAGTGATCAGATAAGGTGTTATTTAATAATTATTGATATGGTATATAGAAAATGTGCTATTGATTTAGTCCGAACGAAACATCTTTATAAACTTGAAATAATAATAATAGGCCGGATATTCCTCCTAATCCGGCCAACCAAACGGATCCTTAAGGGGTAATTGGATATGAATTCAACTAGTTTTTAATTGGTTTTTTTTAACTATAGTTAATTTTGGAAAAAATGTGGTATGATTAGTTGTTAGTGGACATATTGAATAATATCTAAAATAAAATAATTAAAATTTGACTTGATGTAAAAGTAAGAGAAAAATGATCGGAATTGATGATTAGGCTAAATTATGTGGGTGGATGAATAGTGAATTAAAGTTGATGTGATGTGTAACAATGATTTGATTGGTATTAGTTAATTATATTGATATCGATTTTACTATGAAGCCAACAGTTGACTCCATAGTGGAGCCAAACTTCCATATACAACAAATAGATCTACCATATTCTCTGATTACTTAAATAACATTAATATAATTTTATTATTATGGTAGGTTTATTTGTTGTATATAGAAGGTTGGCTCCACTATGGAGCCAACTGTTGGCTTCATAGCAAAACTGGATATTGATAATAGGATAGTGGAATTGAGTTAAAGTTGAGTTAAATTTAAGTTTTGATTGGTTTTTTTTTAGTTGAATTCATAAGGGCATTACTATTTACCGTCCCCCCTTGGACGATTTTGCCCTTTTCAATTTTTTCTAAACATCTCAGAGCAAAGTCTACGGCGAAATGTCGGCAAATTCGGAGGTACGATTTTTTACTGTTCGGCAGACGAGACGGGACGACTTTTAGACTGTCCGACCGCCGAAACCGGACGGTCCAAAAGGCGTCTGGCCGGCCGGTTCGGACGGCATAAAAGCGTTCGCAATCTCGGTCTGATCGGACGGGCTCTGTCCGAATCGGGCCGGCCAGACGGTCTAAAAGACGTCCGGCGACGACGGCCGGTCGCGACCAGTCCGTCCGGTTCGACCGGCCGGATGATTTTTTTTTATTATTTTAAATTATTATGTTATATATTCGAAATAATTATGTTATAAATTAGACGTTAGATATTATCGTATTAGGAGTTAGAAATTATTATGTTACATGTTAGACTTGATTATGTTATAAATTGGACGTTAGATACTATCGTGTTAGGAGTTGCAAATTATTATGTTACATGTTAGACTTGATTATGTTATAAATTGGACGTTAGATATTATCGTGTTAGGAGTTACAATTTATTATATTACATGTTAGACTTGATTATTCTATAAATTGGACGTTAGATATTATCGTGTTATGAGTTACAAATTATTGTGTTACATGTTAGTCTTGGTTATGTTATAAATTGGACATTAGATATTATCGTGTTAGGAGTTACAAATTACTATGTTACATGTTAGAATTAATTATGCTATAAACTGGACGTTAGATAATATCATGTTATGAGTTACAAATTATTATGTTACATGTTAGAATTAATTATCTTATACATTAGAATGAATAAGTTATAATTTAACATGTTTTAAATATATAAATATTGTACTATATAGCAGGAGTCATGGGAAAATTTTGGAGGAGATGGTATTGATTACAGTCTCAGTTTCGATACCCATACATTATTTATTAGTAATGCGGAGGCTATTGAATCTGCAAAAAATCAGGCAATACTGAATGATTTCCTATTAGTAATTTCGAAGCACAAAAAGAAAACGGTCAAGGTTTTGAAGTGCCATAGAGGCGAACGCTACAGAGGCAAAGGCGAAAATTCCAGAAAGACAAAAACGAATTAGTGCAATTGCCCTTTTGAGATAAAAGTAAAAAACTGCCAGATTTGTCATATTGGATGATCTGTAGATGTAGCAAGGAAGAGAATGGCTACCATAACCATTCCTTTGTTGTGTATCCTAAGGGTCATCGACAGTTGAGCGGCCTCAGCGCTTCATCTAAGAATATTATTCGTGATATGACTGACGCTCAGGTGGCCCGACAAAAAATTATGGCCCCGCTGCAGGAAAAGAATCCGGGAGACAACCTTAATCAGCGACAGGTATATATTTATATTTTGTAATATATGTTTTAATTAACTTTTTGAAGTGAAATTTTAAATTAATGCTAATAATTAATTAAATTAAGTTAAAATTAATTATAATAATTAGTATTTTTTTTATATCTAAACGTTATTGTAATAATTAATAAATTTTATTATATTTAGTAATGTATTATTATTATGATAATTAATAATTTGTTTTTTCAAATAAATTATTTAATATACTTTTTTATTTATTAATATAATAATTTTTTTTTTGAATTTTAATAATCATTATAATCAACGCTTATCGGCGACAGGTATATAACTTTAGAGGAAAGCTGCGGAAAGAGAGTTCCGAGGGTAGAGACGTTCCTACCCAGGTTATGCATTTGGCCATGAGAAGCGAGTATACAGTTTTTGCAGAATTCGATCCGAACACAAAAGTGTTGACGCATATATTCATGGCCCATTCTGCATTGGTCAATCTATTCTAGACATATCACTGGTATGTCCGCATAGATTCCACGTACAAAACCAACATGTATGTTACTTTATAAATACTTTATTAGTATGAATCTTAAATGATGTGTTTGATTAAGTTAAGTTTTATGTGATTATATTTTTTGTCTTCTTGGTCTCATTTGCACAGGTACAAGATGCCGTTGGTCGAGATGGTTGGGATGACGCCGTGCAACCAGAACTTCCTAATTGCGTATGCGCTCATCAACGACGAGAAAGAGGCCAATTACGACTGGGTACTACATAAGTTGAGACTTCTGATAGGCCAAGACGTATATCCTAATGTGGTTGTCAGTGATAGAGAGTTGGGTTTAATCACTCCTATTCAGAGGCATTTTTATGAATCAGCCCACTTACTCTGCACGTGGTACATCAACAAGGATGTGGAAGACAAAGCCTACAAACTCTTTGGGAAAAGTAAAAAATTTTCGCAAATGTTCACGCACGGTAAGTTCAAAAAAATTGCCGAGTCCAGTACGTTCGATGCCTACAAACGATGCCGTTGTCGAGATGTGCGCAAAATAATCGAACACTCCACAAGTGGTACAATATATGGAGAATACATCGTTAGGGCACAAGGAGAAGTTTGTGGAAGCTTGGACCAACCACGTAACACATTTTGGAAACACAACTTCTTGTAGGGTGGAGAGTGCCCGCTCTGTGTTGAAGCAGTGGCTTCACACGTCCACCGGCGCGCTCGATACAATTTGGTAGAAGATTAATAAGGAGATCGATTCTCGATTGACTGAAATCAGGTACATACTGCAATTTTTAACTGTGTTATTATATTACTGCATTAATTCTAATCTAATGTTATGTAATGTATTATCAGGTCAGCGCTTGAGGCTTTGAGAGTTAAGAAGAGTACTTTGTATAAGGGAATCCTTTTCGCGAGCGTGATAATGAGGGTCTCGCATTACTGCCTGAGTTTATTGGACTCTGAGCTTACGAGGATGCATGACTTGAGCATCGAAGTTTACAAGCGCTACGACTGTGTATTGCAAGCGACTCATGGACTTCCTTGTGCCTGTCTGCTCCATACGGAAAATGTGTTTGGTCATCTGATTGATCTCGTAATTATTCACCCGTTCTGGAGAACGCTACAGATGTTAGAACCAGATAATTTTCTACTTGCTGTTTCGTTTTTAATTACAATTTATGTCATTAAAATACATTATTCGGTTTTATTCATTGAATTTTTTATCGTATACTTGTAGGGACTGGTCACCAGAGCCAGGCGAACAAGGGTGCATGGTCAGATGCGGAGTTCATTCGGACGCTTGTGAATGAGGTTGAAACCGGCG